TCATGTTAGGGCTTATTTTTCGTTTAGGTCCTTTATTCGCGGATATATATACGGTAGTGCGTAACTGCATGTGGTTACACTACTGATAGAATTTATAAAAGAGAATGAGCTATTTTACACTCTAGCAGCTGCTACACCATCTAGAAAAATCTGCACTCCCTCTTATCAATGCATGTAACTAACCCATGACCAAAAAACATATTATGAAACATTCTCCAGATTTACTTATTCTAATCTAGCTCAATATAAGAATATACTACAGACAGAGTCAATGTTTCCTTTAGACCACCTTAGAGTCGAAGCATCAATAGTCCATGTAAACTTTACACACTGGGTCACATTGTCATTTTGATTGGTCTTCCTTTCAACACTTTTGTTTTTGTGCAGTCGCAAAACTAACAACCAGTAACATAATTTAACATAAATGCAAAATATTTAATATTAGACTTCTTAATTCTAAGCCAGTATTAAACCAGTAAAGAAAATGACTGGAATTGTTTAATCGGTTATGGTATTTTTTTAAAGATTTTTACACTTATCAGTGATCTCTTTAATGAACTGATGGTATTTCCTTTTAATTCTGTTAAGATCCACATCCCACACATTATGCCTGTCACCGTACACATTCAACATGCCAGATGGTTCCTTTCTCCGAATGTCTGATGCTGCTGGGATTAACATTTTTGGCAGTCTCTACATTTCCTTTCATTTAATTCCACTGTTTTTGCTCTAATTATTTAGGGTTTTTACTTGGCCTTATTAACACTGTTCTGGCAAGTAATACCTTACTTTTGTTTTTAATTTAAAATTTTCCTTACAAGAACAAGCTGTTTTGAAGTAAAACGTGCAATGCAGTCCAGCAGACGCAAAGCTAATTAATTATAATGATAATAGAAAAGTGGTCAGATGTTAAAGGAAAACGGTCATTAAAAAGGCAATATATTTTTATTTTATAATGATACCATTGCTTTATTTTTTAAGACATATTCATACATATTTTGAACAAATAATTTGCTACCTTTCCCACTCCTCTGACAGACATCGTTATGAATCTTGGGTCAGACAGTCAGTTATCCCAGCATATGCTCACTATTTTATAACTGTCTGTTGCCTTTTAAAATTATGTTCTCTTACTGCTTAAATTGTATTCTATGTTTTAGCGCTAGAACCTAAACTGAGCCACCTCTTTTTTCCCAGCACTAACTTCCTTGTTTGTGCTGGTCAGTGTGTAATTAAAGGGAAAATGTAGGCACTCTATTTGCTTCCTCTCATTAAACTTTTTATAGTGTCTGGACTTCCCAAGTTCCATCATTTCATTCAGCATTAAACGAGGATTGAGGATTGAGCAATGAGGCTGCAGGGGCATGTTCTATACACCAAAACTGCTTCATTAAGCTAAAGTTGTTCAGGTGACTATAGTGTCCCTTTAATTACTAAAATAAATATTAATGTCCCCTCAATGACTTTCATTATATTTTACAAAAGCAAATTGTGTCAATAGAGGTAAAGAATGTAGAAATTGAAAAATACATAATTATTCACTGCAGCATTACTGATTTAAAATGTTTTTGTTTAGATTAATGGAATTAATGGAAAATGGAACAAATCAAATAAAGGGGAGTTGTAGAAAATGAAGAGAAAATAGGTGGAAAGGTAAAGAGCATTCGGGCGTAACAATTGCTTATTAAGCAGTAGGATTTAATTAATTGATAATTAAACTGAAAATTACAAGCCAAAATAATTTCAGTGAAAAAAAAAAAGAGGAGGTACAGCCCCAAACTGTAATTCATTTTCATGAATTGGAATCTAAATGACATGTTTATGAAGATGCATTTTTAAAATTACCACCAGTTTCCTGAAAATACTAATAAGTAGCTATTTGCTTGTTTTTATCTGTTTTGTCATATTAAAGTAGCACGGTCATGGCCGAGTACCATTTTTTTTTTTTTAAACCCCCCTCCCAACTCCATTACATCTAATTGACACCCTAGTCACCCCCAAATGTCCCTTATCCCCCCATATTACCAATATTTTTATCTTTATTTTCTGCCTGATCCTAGGTTCTGGGTGCCGCCATCTTTGTGTGGGTAGATGAAGTCCCTGTGGGAAACGTCATCTGCCCACACTAGATAGCGCTGTGAAATTCCCGCACATGCCCAGTTAAACACTTGGGCATGCGAACGGGAATTTCATCTATTCTTTCATTCGACGAATGAATGACTAAAAATGTCAGACGAACAAACAAACACTGAATGTTGGTATCCTTTTGTTCGTTCAGTTTATTGCAAGGAGGGAGCTATCAGCCCACAGCTCTCTCCTTGTAAAATTTACAAATAGAAGCAACAGGGAGCAGTGCTCCCTGCCACTTCCTAAGTCCCCCATGTCCTCCCTCACTCTATGGGGGTCAATATGAATAATATCAATAAATATCAATAAATATCAATAAATTTAAATCTCCCGAATGCCCCTACTCGCTATGCTGCGAGTAGGGACATGTCTACTAAACAGTGAGTGTTAAGACACCTCCCGTGTCTTTAAGTCAAACCGCCGTTTAGTAAACCTTCCCCGGCTGCAGTACAGTCTCTGTTCGCTTACTCTGTAACCCACGAACCAAATGCAGGGGAAGCGCCAATCTCCCGATCGAAATCCACGAACGGCTCCAAACTCCCGAACGGCAATATACGAACTGCTATGAACCGTCGAACAATAATATCCCCAAAGCGGCTTAAGTTCCATCCAGCAGTCTCTAACCGTGAAGAAGAAATCCCCCCAATAACGAGACAGAAGCTCCGCATTGAGGGTCAAATAAGATCTGGTTTTACTGTGGGCTACCTGCCCGTATTTATGCAGGTCTCCCCTAGGGGACCAAATGGAAGACTTAAATTACAGACAGATAGAAGGACATTTCTGACACACAGTCACATCTCTTACCCACAGTGCATTCTGATTCCCTCCCCTCTGTCCTGGAGTTAATTACCAAGTAACTCAATTAACTCCAGGCAGGGCCAGATTAAGAGCCCAGTGGGCCTGGTGCTGACAATTATGACGGGCCTAATTACAGAATCATATCGACCAAAAACAGTAAAACACTCCCAAGCGTCATGTATCTGATGGAGATGGTGCTGGAGAGAAAGAAAACACATACCCTAGGCTAATCTCTCACTAATTTATGTTTTCATCTTTCAAGTAAATCCATAACCCCTAACAGCAGTGTCCAGTCAGGCATGGGCATGGTAAAAGCATGTGCCACTGACACAAATCACGTAACCTGCCAAAAGGGGCGAACATGCCAAAAAAGAGGACA